GAACACGTTACTCGGGGTTCGAGTTTTGTCCAAAGATCCAAAATGATAACTATTGTTAAGTAGCTACGAGGTGAAAGACCGAAGAAATGGTACCTGATATGTCGTAAAACTTTATTTTATCGTTCGAGTATAATTAAACGAGCTTATATTTTGTACAAATTGAAATTGAATATAAGTTAATCAGTCCGATGTTAATAATATTAAAGAAGATAAAAGTTAGAAAAATGAGAATACACCAAAGAATACCAAACACACTTAATACCCATAGAACAATATACATATAATTTGAATATTTCCTGAGCAATATCCCTGTATAATATAAAGTTTGCAAAGTATTTAATAATTTTTAATAATGGAAAGTAATGTAATTTCTTTTTTTAATTTTTAAAAGTGACAGTATAAAAGATCGCATATAATAACGCGACAGGTGAATGATCTTTGGACCTTAAGTAATCACCCCTCTAACAACGCTATATCACTTAATATTTATTTTATTATGCATCAGGCGACCCGTGAATGTTGTTTATTAAATAACTTCGTATATACAAATTCGTATAGAGACAAATTAGAGAAAGATCATGAATGGTATGCGTTATTCGATGTGTCATCGTTTTAAACTACCATTTAACATACGTCTATCGACGTAAGAACACAGTTTCATTAAGACAGTAAGTCTTATGTTGAACTAAATTGGACTAAATTGTCTCGCGGTAATAAATCTGGTCGACAGAAATGATTAAATGCCGTCTATCACAAGCTACAATGTATACTCTAAGCACTTGAAAAAATCTCGATTTCCTTTTCAGCGGAGAAAAAAATTTATCAAATTGATTCATTAAAATATGCATTACTGTATTTCTTATTAACAGTCGCTAATATTTTTACTTGACATAGCAAAATCTACAAAATAAATTTCGAATAAAATTCTAAAGCACAAGAAAAAATGTATGAAGTAAGCAAGGAAGCGTAATCTTCTACATGGAATGTTCGCAACCAAATGACAAAACAAAACAAGAAAGAAAAAAACGGTACTACTATTGAGATTACAAAATGAATCGGTTATTATATTACGAACCTTATATGTATGAATTATCTTTGTTTTCATTTACATTCAATATTAATTTAATATTACATTAACAACTGCTGTACTGTTCATATTGTTACCGTGTCCACGTTTATGTAAGACCTAACAATACTTTGTACAAGTTTTATGATACAAATATATTACGACAATTTAGTTTATATACCATACAACGTTATACTTTTAGCATTACACCTTTCATGGATTAAACCTTTTCTTGTACAAGGCATGATCTTATTCATATGTAATGTCATTGATAAAAGAATCTGACTGCTTTCAAGTTCAAAGGTTTTTTTTTTCTTTCCACATGGTACTGGGAAAATAGAAATCTACACACTTATGCATCTCCATCAACAAACATACTTCACACCTATTCACTTTGAAGGTATTAACCTCGAAGTATCCTCGTGGTTCTGATACTTTGGTTTTCCATGAGTGAAGGGCAGATATCTGTATTTGATCATATGCTGGAAATGAATTTCAAATAAATTAAATAGCAGATATAATCTCATGATTTAAAATATGATTCTTTACCTTTATTTGACGCTTCATAGTAATGCAAAATAGTGTTATGAAATACATAACAAGTATGGGCCAGAATACTGGTATATTAAAACAATCAAACATAGTACATATCATTGCAATGACTGTAGACTTCATCACAGAATACCAGAATTTAAATTCTGGCAACCTCCTAATAAATGGCCTAAATTCTTCATTAGATCTTGTAGGTAACTCTGGTCCATCACCATCTATTAAGAAATTTCTATTAAGAATGTGTTTTAAAAATGGAGTTGAAATCTTACAACTTTACAACTTATTAAATAAACATTTAACATTATAACTTCCATTTTACTTCATGTTATATTAATAAATTCCAGTCCTTATAAACACTATGTATAGACACTCACCATCAAAATCCATTGCAGGATCAATTTTAGGAGTAAGGAATGCTATGAATAAATTCAGATGATAAATTCCTAGTGCATATGTAACAATATACCATCCCTAGAAATATAAAAGTACAAGAATACATAAAAGCCATATTAAGTAAATGCTATTAAAATTTTTAAATGAATGACTTACTTGTGAAAGAAATATACGCAGGACAAAAACAAATAATAGCAAAAAAGCACATGTCCATCTTGACACTACAAGAGGAGTCCATAGATCCAAGTATCTTTGATACAACTGCAATGTAAATACATTTACAAAATTAGAATAATTAAAAAATATTGTACCAACTGATAAAGTACTTATCAGAAATCAAAGTTCAGTCAACATATGAAACAAATAATTTTTGTCTATTATATTATAAACAAAATTACATGAAAAGTTTATAAAATTAAAAATAAAATTGATTAAAAAATAATATTTCCAAAAATACAAAATACATACTTGTGATACTCTTCCTATTGCTTGACTAAAAACATTTCGTCTTGCGGGACCACCCAGATGCTCATCTTGCATCATTTTATCTTCCTGCAAAAGAAGTTTAATTTGCAACATGACAACTATCATCTAAAAATATTCATGTTCATTACAATATTTACATAAAAATAACATCATAGTACTAATATTCTATAAATATTGGTTTTATGAAAATGAAACATTTGCTAGAACTAAAAAATTAAATTGTAATTGACATCTGAAATACCAAGTGAACAATATACAAAAATATATAAAAATTGAATATATCATAAATAATTAAAAATTTTTTTTTACTGTTTAAGTAACTATAAAATTATTGAAATGAAGAATAAAAAATACATTTCGTTTCATTTACTTTACTAAAAAACCATTAATAAATGTTACTCCTATTGACAAATTTGATTAACTGTTCACTTAAAATAGATTCAATTACAATAAAGGCACTTCTTATGCGTGTTATTAAACACATTTTCATAAATAAATTTTAAAAAATGTGTACAATACTTTTTACAACAAATTACAGAAAATTTTATAGGTTCAAATATATAAGAAACACAGTCACAATAAAAAATTCTTAATAAGTGCAATATACAAAAATTTCTGTTTACAAATGCAAATTTATAATAAAAAGAAATCACTAATATATCAAATTATTAAAACCAATTATTAAAACGTACTCTAGGTTGCTGGAATATAAGTCTTCCTAAGTAATAGTTTGATAGGACCTTTGTGCCAAACGATAACTTAAAGTTTAAATAAAATTTTAGATTTGAATTTATGGACTGTATTAATGTTCTTTTTATGAAATGACGAACGTTCATTCAAAAAATCCGTAGCTTCATCACGAGTTCTCAATAGCATGGAATAAACTGTACGATATGCACATAACCTCCTCATTTTATAATTATCTTAAATTCTTCAGTATATAGTCTTAAATTCAATTGTAAACCATAGTTAAAACTATAATAAATTGTATTTACCTAAGGTATTTACGTTTTCAGCCAATCTTCGCGATTAATTCGCTATTTATTTAGTTAAAAAAATAACACGTCACAACATTAATGGCATACTATGATTAGACGTACTATAGAATTTGCAAGGTGCTTCAACTTATCTCCTGGTATATTGTCACAAGAGCGGACGACCGTTAAATCTGATTCTTATGTAACGAATGATATAATTTACGTCAATTTGTGATTGGTAACTTATCTATGTACATTAAAGTTACTTATTCAAATCTTTTGGAACACTTGACTGCAATTACTCTATATACTGAGGTAACTGTTTTTGTAATTACAATAATTTATTATTAATATTTCAAAAGTAATCTAAATAAAGACATAAACTTAATAGTAATAGGAAAATTAAAATTACATTTTTATAAGTCCATAAGAAAATTAAATTCAACTGTAAGTACCTATTGAATCCCTTATTTTTTTGTCAATGTTTTTACGATGTAATACTTTATCAGA